ATAAAAACTCGGAGGTCCGCGCGGATTTGTTGGATCCGCGCTGACCCCCCTCCCTGGCGCGCGGAGCGTGCCAGGGGCGGCGCCGGAGGCGCCACCGGGGGGCCCCAGCGCCGATCCGAGAAATCCGCGCGGACCTCCGAGTTTTTATGTTTATGTCACTTTTTGTTCCCCTACTCCCTCCTCCCCTGCGCCACGCGACCACCCGCACACGACGACGACGACGACGACGACGACGACGACGACGTGGCCTTGGCCACCCGCACACGACGACGACGACGACGACGACGACGACGACGACGACGACGACGACGACGACGACGACGGCGGCGGCGACGACGACGACGACGACGACGACGACGACGACGACGACGACGACGACGTGGCCTTGGCCACGAACTCCTCGGTGGAGGGGGCGCGCTGGGACAGCTGGCAGGCGGCCACCTGCCGGAGGCCGGCGCGGGCCCCTGCCGCGGCCCGCCGCCGTCGGCGCGGACAGCCTCGTCGTCGAGGCTCGAGCGTCGAAAGGAGGAGGAGGAGGAGCAGGAGAAGAAAGAGGAGGAGGAGGAGGGGGAGGAGGAGGAGGAGGAGTAGGACGACAGGAGGAGGAGGAGGAGGAGGAGGAGGAGGAGGAGGAGGAGGAGGAGGAGGAGTAGGACGACAGGAGGAGGAGGAGGGGGAGGACGTCGGGTCGAAAGGAGAAGGTCGAGGATGGGGAGGGAACGGAGGCGATGACCAGGGCCGCCGAGACGTCGGTGCCGATCTCGGTCAGCGTTCATCTCTTCTGCGGCGGCACTTCGAGGTCGATTCGTGGATCGGCCTCGCGGATCGGCGACGGGCGGCATGGACCATGACCAAAATCAGCGTCGAAAATATCCCGCGACATCTTGGCCGTGTTCATCGCGTTCCTTCCTCGGATCATCATTACCGTCATCATCATCATCATCATCATCATCATCATCATCATCATCATCATCATCATCATCATCATCATCATCATCATCATCATCATCATCGTCATCGTCATCGTCATCATCGTCATCATCATCAGCATAGGCAGCCTCATCATCATCATCATCATCATCATCCTGATCCTTATCATAATCATCATTATCATCATCATCATCATCATCATCATCATCATCATCATCATCATCGTCATCGTCATCATCGTCATCATCATCATCATCATCATCATCAGCAGCCTCATCATCATCATCATCATCATCATCATCATCATCATCATCATCATCATCATCATCATCATCATCGTCATCGTCATCGTCATCGTCATTATCATCGTCATCAGCATCATTATCCTACTCCTCCTCCTCCTCATCCTCCTCCTCGTCATCATCATCATCGTCATCATCATCATCATCAGTATCATCAGCAGCATCATCATGATCAGTGTCATTGTCCTTACCATTATCAACTCAGCATTATCATCTCACCACGACCACCACCACCATCACAATCATCAGCAGCAGCAGCCTCACCGCCACAATCATCATCACCATCATCATCAGCAGCAGCATTAGCATAAGCATGATCATCGTCATCATCATCAGGATCGTTATCGTCATCATCATCAGCAGCAGCATCATCATCATAATCACCAACACCATAAGCATAATCAGCAGCATCAGCATCATCAGCAGCATCAGCATCATCATCATCATCATCATCAGCATCATCATCATCATCATCATCAGACTCGTCATCATCAGAATCGTCTTCACCATCAGCATCATCATCACAATCAGCATCATCGGCAGCATCATGAGCATCATCAACATCATCAGCATCATCATCACCATCATCCTCATTGTCATCATCAGAATCACCATCACCATCATCAAGAACCATCATCGTCATCATCAGCATCATCATACGTGGTCTTATCGTCATCCTGATCCTCATCATGATCATCATCATCAGCAGCAGCATCGCCAGCGTCATCGTCAGCTTCATCAGCATCAGCATAAGCATCAGCATCACAATAATCATCATCAGCCTTGTCATCATCAGATTCAGCTGCATCTTTGTCAACAACACCATCAACATCATCTTCATCGTTATCATCACAACTATCGTCATACTTATATTCATCACAGCACCATCAGCATCATCAGCGTCAGCATCATCAACACCAATCGTCAGTAGCCCGAGCATCATCATGAGCAGCATGACCGTCAGCATCATCAGCATCCTCCTGATCATCATCATCGCCACCACCACAACCGTCAACACCATCAGCATCCTCATCGTCATCGTCATGATCATCCGTATCACCACAATAATCATCAGCATCATCGCCATCATCATCAGCAACATCATCAGCATAATCATCATCATCGTCATCATCGTCGTCATCATCAGCATCATCAGTATCATCATCATCATCAGCATCATCATCACCGTCGTGGTCATCGTCATCGTCAATATCATCGGCATCATCCTCATCCTAATACTGATCATGATTCTCATTATCATGATCAGAATCATCACCATCATCATAATCAGCAGCAGCATCATCAGCAGCAGCACCTGCATCATCATCATCATCATCATCATCATCATCATCATCATCATCATCATCATCATCATCATCATAATCAGCAGCAGCATCAGCATCAGTATAAGTAACAGTATCAGCAGCATCAGCCACCTGAATCCGCCGACCCAGTCGGCATGTGTGAGAGGCCCTTCGACGCGAGGCCAGCTCAGTCCAAACTGAAGCACGCAGGCCTCCTTTGAATCGTCGTCGCCCTCCAGGGATATCGAAGAAACCATAGGAATCGAAGACTGTCGTCATTCGAAGCAGCCCCTTCCCTTTGCTCCCTAACCGCCGGGGGGGGGGTCCCCCGGGAGGAGGGGGGTCCCAAAGGGCAAAGGGTGGTCCCAGGGTGCGGGCCCGGCGGAGTCCTGGGGGGGCTCCCAGGGGCATCCCCGGGGGGGTCGTGACCCGCCCCGACCCCCCGGGCGGCCCCCCCCAGTGGAGAAGAGGGACAGGAGGGTGGCCTCCGCGTCAGCAGGGCTACGGAGCGTCAGCGTCGTCGCCGCCGCCGCCGCCGTCCCCCTTCAGGGTCCGCGGCGCCGGCCGCAGGGCCCTCAACAAAAACTGTACTCGGGGGAGGGGGGGAGGGGAAGTCAAGGGGGCGGGGGAAGAGGAGAGAGAGGACGAGAGAAAGGGGGAGTGCGGAGGAGGAGAGAGGAGTGGGGGGTGGATGCCCGCTGCTGGCACGTATCCAATAACGCTGCAAAGCAAATGGTATCACAAGCAGTCAGTTCACAACGGCACCGGGAGGGAGTCTGCAGCAACAAACAAGACGAATACAAGTCAACAGCTTTGGGATCCCCCCTCCTGCCACTCTCCATGCCATCATCCGCCTCGTTCTCGAATTCAAAGTAAAGGAGCCCAAGGACCTCGCAAAAACCATTAGAAACCCACACACACACACACACACACTCATATACACACACACACACACACACACACACACACGCACGCACGCACGCACGCACACACACACACACACACACACACAAGGACACCCACTTCCTCCTCCTCCTCCTCCTCCTCCTCCTCCTCCTCGCGGCACCTCCGATCAAGATCAGGTTGGTGCCAGGAGGCGCCGTTGGGTGAGAGGGCCCATGTGCGCTGCCTTCGTGTGCATTCCTGAGCAGGGGTGGGACCCTCAGATAGGAGGCCACATGCGAAACCTCCCCCTCAGAAATCGTGGGGGGTAGGGTTCGCATGTGGCCCCCTTTATCAGATACTTGTGTACTGAGTGATGCCTGGCAGTACCGAAAGGAGATGTCCAGAAGCAGAATGCTCCGACAGCTCAGCAGTGCCGCTTCTTATACTCTGCCCGGGACTTTGACCAGGCGTGCGAGGCGCTCGCGCGGGCTCGGGCCGACCCAAGCGTCTGCGGCCGTGGGCTCATGCAGGGCAGCGATGCTTCGTTGGGCTGCGCACACAAGGGGGTAATTAGGGGCAGGGGGGAGGTGCCTCACACTGGCCTTCCATGCGTAGAGAAGGCCATCTGCAGATGCCGTGGGCGGAACCTGCGCCCACCTCCGCGGCCTCGCAGCCCAGGCACCCGGGCCGCGACCCCGCGAAACACAGGGCGCTCTCTCCGCGGACGCCCCGCGCGCATCGCACGTCCGTGCAACCGCGTGTCCGCGGGCGGCAGCGCGCCCCGGAGACAGGGCCGAGAGGGCGCGGACTCGCACATGTTCGCCGCTGGTGACTGGTGGCCGGGCGTGGCCTGAGCGGCCGAAGCGGCCGCCTCGAGGGTGGAGGCGATCCGAGCTGCGATGGCCTCCGCGGCGGCGGGGCCCGACCGCGCGGGTGCCGAGCACGGTCTGCTCCAGGAGCCCTCGGCATGCCGCCTCGTAGAGCCCGAGCCAACTCTGCGCCGCACGTGAGCGGCGACGGGGCCTTGCACGACCTTGCGCGGCTGCTTATTGGAGACGAGGTCGCTTACGCGCGACCTTGCGTGAGCAGCTTGCGCGCCAAGGTCGGCGCAGTCGAGCCTGGCTTTGTGCGTCGCCCGTGTGGGAATGTGCGGCCAGCAGGGGCTGGCGGGCATGCACCGTGTCCGACGACCTGCAGATGCAAGCCACGGCCAAGCACAGGTCCGAAGCGGAGTTCCGACTGCACGGTGCTTCCCAAGAGCTGGGCCGCACTTCCTGGCCCACTCAGGCTGGCCTGGGTGATGGGGTGGAGGACGGCGGTTTCGGCCCAGGTCTTCCCCGCAGGCCCGTTCCGCGACGCGAGAGGCGGTGCAGATTCTCGGGACGAACGATTTCGGAGAGATAGTCTTGGGATGGCGCGCACGCCTAAGTAGAGAGATCTCACTGCTCATGCCTCTCCAGCTGGAGTCCTTGGTGGAGTTGTGCAGGCAGTCACAAGGGGAGGTCTCTACCTGTCCTGGGTGGGCCTTGGGCTCACGACGGGAGCGTGTGACACGTTTCGGGGGCGCGCAAACATGGATTGGCGAGCCATGGACTTGGCGCGCGGTCGCCAAATCCATGGATCGGGGGAGGTGCCCTCCCCAAGAGTGCGGCCGGTGCCGCCTCGCTCGGCGGCGGAGGTCCGCGATGTCCCAGGGAAGCGGGACCCGTCGCCAGAGCCACGCCCCCGCTGATCCATGCTTGCGATCGCCCGAGCGTGGAACACCAGCAGCGGGGTCGGCGGAAGTCGGCACGACGCGAAGGCACTCGGGGCCCTTTCGCTCCAGCCTGGCCGCCCCCCGAGGGCGAAGGCGGGCTGCGGGCGCGCCGCGGCGCGGGCCCGCGCGCCCAGGGCGGCGGAGGGCCAGGGAAGGAGAGCGAGCGGGTCTGGAGAGGCTGCTGCTGCAGTGGAGGCCCATGCTAAGAGACACCCTACCTGCCTCCAGGGTGCCCTGGGTGTCTTGGGTGTCGATGGCTTTTTGCCATGGAGAGGGTGACGCTCAGCACCGAAACTCGACGGATGTCCTGGGGTCTCAGGGTTGGGTTTCTCGTGGAAGGTTCCTTGTGGACGGGCCTCTACTGTACTGCCGAGCCGGTCCTGGACAATCGACATCTTGTCCAGGCCCCTGCTCACGCCCCGACCTCACGAGGGGCTAGAGCGGGGATATGGAGAAAGCATGGCCTTCGAGGCCACTCGTTTTCCAAAACGCTGCTGCACCTGGCGCCAAGGAGTGGGGGCAGCAGCAGCAGCAGCAGCAGCAGCAGCAGCAGCAGCAGCAGCAGCAGTAGGGGTACGGATCGAACGTCGGTCTCCGATGTCCCTCCTGCCCCTCCTCCCCCTCCTCTTGCGCCTGAAGCAGTGCACCATCGGACGGCGTGCGGGCGTCGATGTCGCCGCTGTCGTGGCTCTGCGTCGGCTGCCCGCGTCCGTGGGTGGCGTAAGCCCACGCGTGCTTCACCGGTTGCTGCAGGTGGCTCCCTTCGTGCACTTCCCGAAGAGGCCCCCATCGTACCAGAAGGCCGCACCAGGACCGTGGGCTCGAGTCCTGTGCTAGCTGTGGGATGGCTCTTTGGCGACCGACGGTTAGTAGGCATCGCAGGCCAGCGTGGGGGCCAACCCACGCCGACTTGTCAGGAGCATTCGAGGCGTATGTCTCTTGATCCTGGACCGGTGGCCAAAGAGTTATCGCAGTGCTCCAGAAGCCCGCAAAGCCCAGAAGCGGTCGTCATCAAGGATGATAGGACTTCGTCGAGGAACTCCAACCGCAACCCCTCGACCATGCGCACTCTGCTCCTCCTCATCCCTCATCCCTCGCCTTCCTCCTCCTCCTCATCCTACTCCTCATCATCATCATCATCATCATCATCATCATCATCATCATCATCATCATCATCATCATCATCAGCATCAGCATCAGCATCAGCATCAGCATCAGCATCAGCATCATCATCATCATCATCATCATCATCATCGTCATCATCATCATCATCATCATCATCATCGTCATCATCATCATCATCATCAGCATCATCATCATCATCATCATCATCATCATTGTCATCATCATCATCATCATCATCATCATCGTCATCATCATCATCATCATCATCATCATCATCATCAGCATCATCATCATCATCATCGGCATCATCAGCGTCAGCATCAGCATCATCATCCTCAGCCTCAGCCTCATCCTCATCAGCATAATCAGCATCAGCCTTATCAGCATATTCATCATCAGCATCAGCATCATCATCATCAGCAGCATCATCATCATCAGCAGCAGCAGCAGCATCAGCATCAGCATCATCATCATCATCATCAGCATCATCATCATCATCGGCATCGGCATCATCAGAATCATCAGCATCACTATCATGATAAGCTTCATCGTCACCAGTATCATTGTCAGTAGCAGAATCATCATCGTCAGCAGCAGCATCAGCATCGTCAGCACCATCAGCATCATCAGAACCATCAGCATCATCAGCATCATGATCAGCACCATAGTCATCCTGATCAGCATCCTAATCCTCATCCTCATCCTTATCCTCATCCTCTTCATCGTCATCAGCATCATCAGCATCCTCATCCTCATCATCCTCATCATCCTCATCAGCATCATCATCAGCAGCATCATCATCGTCATCATCATCAGCATCGCCACCACCATAAGCATCATCAGCAGCATCATCATCAGCATCAGCATCAGCATCAGCATCCTCCTCCTCCTCCTCCTCCTCCTCCTCCTCCTCCTCCTCCTCCTCCTCCTCCTCCTCCCCCTCCCCCTCTTCCTCCCCGCCCCGAGAAAATGGGGCAACAGCAGCTCCGAGAGAGCCACCCCGCCTCGGGCGTGCCGAGCCTCTTGTGCACGCCCACAACGACGGCGTCGGCGCCCAAGCAGGCCATCGCATCCTCGACCCGCCTCTGGCGTGATGGTGATCGAGGCAGCGAGGAGGGAGGAGGAGGAAGAAGAGGAGGAGGAGGAGGAGGGACGTAGGAGGAGGAAGAAGAGGAGAAGGAAGAGGAAGAAAAGGAAGAGGAGGAGGAGGAGGAGCAGGAGGAGGAGAAGGAGGAGGGACGTAGGAGGAAGAGGAGGAGGCTGGGAGGTGCAGGAGAGAGGGAGGGGAGAGGGGAGGGGAGGTGGGGGAGGGACGTGAGGGTAGGAGGGAAGGAGGGAGACGGCTGACGATCTGGAGCTCGAGACCAGGGCCTGTGGGGCCCGGCTGGCCCCGCGCCCTCCGAGGTCAGCGATCTCCGGCGTCGGCGTCGAGAGGTGGAGGACCAGGAGGAAGGGGGAGGGAGTGAGGGAGGGAGGGAGGTAGAGGAGGAGGAAGGGGGAGGGAGGAAGGGAGGAGGGAGGGAGTGAGGAGGAAGGAGGAGGGAGGAAGGGAGGGAGGGAGGGAGGCAGGGAGGGAGGGAGGCAGGGAGGGAGGGAGGGAGGACGAGCGCCGAGGAGAAGGAGAGAGAGAGAGAGAGAAGATGGGCACAGAGAAGGAGGGGGGACGAAGCAGCAGGGGGGAGTAGCAGGGGGGAGGGGGCCGAAGGCAGGTCATCCTTGTCTCTATCTAGACAAGCGCATTCCAATACTCGCAAAGGAACTACTCCCAAATGGCCTGGATCCGCCACGGGGGATCTACGATATATGGCATCGAAACGGACATGGTTTTCGGACGTCTGCGAGTAGGCACTGTGCAAGTAGTGGAACGCGCTCGGTGATTATCCGACACCAAGCGTATCGGTGGGGCGGGCCGGGGGTGTCGCCTGAGACGACCTCGTCGCACAAGATCTCGAACGCTGATATCTCCAACTGCTACACTGACGAAGTCGGCTCTCGCCTTGGCGTGGCACGCACTCGCCTCAGCAAGAAGAGCACCGCGGATCAAGGGCGAGCCACTGAAGGAGGAGGAGGGAGGAGGAGGAGGAGGAGGAGGAGGAGGAGGAACAGGAGGAGAGAAGAGGAGAGGGGGAGGAGGTGAGAGAGAGGAGGAGGAAGGAGGAGGAGGAGGAGGAGGAGGAGGAGAGGAGGAAGGGAGAGGAGGAGGAGGAGGAGGAGGAGGAAGGAGTGAGGAGGAGGAGGAGGAGGAGGAAGAGGAGGAGAGGAGGAGGAGGAGGAGAGAGGAGGAGGAGGGGGAGGAGGAGGAGGAGGAGAAGGAGGAGGCTCGAGGCTCGAGGATCGAGGGCGAGCCGTCGTTTTGTCCATTGGGGCCGTCGCCCCGGCGCCGCGCACGCTCGTCTTGCCAGACAGGGTGGCTGCACGGACCAAAGGCGGCGGAGGTGGGCACCGGAGCCAAACGGGGGCTTCGACTGAGACATCGTCCTCCTCCTCCTCCTCCTCCTCCTCCTCCTCCTCCTCCTCCTCCTCCTCACTCCTCCTCCTCCTCCTCCTCCTCCTCCTCCCTCCTCCTCTCCTCCTCCTCCTCCTCCTCCTCCTCCTCCTCCTCCTCGCTCCTCCTCCTCCTCCTCCTCCTCCTCCTCCCTCCTCCTCCTCCTCCTCCTCCCCTCCTCCTCCTCCCTCCTCCTCCTCCTCCTCCCCTGGGGGGGGGCCCGTGAGGCTCCCGGAACCAAAAAACCTGGAATGGCGCAACGGCTGGACGCGAGGAGGTCGGATTTCCTCTGCAGGGCACTTCCCTGGACTTGGCAGCACCACGTGGTGAGGTCCCTTCTATCGGGCGTTGGCAGAACTGGGTTTAGTGGAACCTGGTTTAGTGATTTGTACGGGGGGCGCCCCCCCCGCCCCATCTCCACTAACCGGAACTGCCGTCACCCGAAAAACACCAGCTACGGCAAACCTGGTTTAGTGAATCTGGCCAATTGAGGGACCCTAGGGCCCTACCACTAACCGGGTCCCCTTGCCCGGGGTCCGGGCTATACCCGATTCTAGCTCCAAGGACGGAAGGCGATTTCTTTCAGAACGCGGCTCCCGCACGAATTGCGAGCCAATGCGGCGCTCGTCTTCCAAGAAAGGCGCTTCGCGCCGTGGAAAGAGGATGGCCGAGGGGAAGGGGACTGTCGAGAGGGGACCTGGGACGGAAAAGGGGAGTTGTAGCAGCACTGACACGTCTTGGGCTTACTCTGGTCATCCCCTGCTCCTCCCCCTCATCCACTCACCGTCTCCCTTCCCGCCAAATCCCGACGCCATGATTTTTGTTCCCGCGGTTCCCCGCAGATCTGAACCCCGACGCAGATTTGTCCCCCCAAAAACCGGCATCCCATCCCGAGCTGCTCCTTCCCGTCGGGGGCCCTGCAAGAGCCCCCCTGGGGATGCCGAAAGGGCCGTGCCCTCTGCCGCAACGCAAGAGGGGGGTCCAGGCAATCCCGTGCCGCTACTCCCCGGACCCCTCCAGCGACGGGTTCTGACCAGGATTTCGAGGCGAGTGCAGCCGTGGCGACGAGGCAGGGGTGGCGGTAGGGGTACCTCTGCCTCCTCGGATCCTTCGCCCCCTCTCTCCCGGAGCTCTGGCGGCGCGGGCATGGGCACCCGGACCTCTCGATCCATTCCCCAGGGCTGGCTCTTCATCCTGAGTCGTTGTTGTGACGGTCCTGGAGTCCGAGACCAGCCTGCAGAGGGCCAAACCTTGAGGCAACCAAAATCACTCACACACACACACACGAATGATGGTAAGAACACGACAAGAGATCGAGTAGCAGTATGCCAATCGACGTGTCTCTGTATATGTACAAATACATGCACTATAGAGGGGAGGGGAATACAGTTTATATATATATATATACCTACATACATACATACATACATACATACATACATACATACATACATACATACATACATACATACATACATACATACATACATACATACATACATACATTACATACATACATACATACATACATACATACATACATACATACATACATACATACATACATACATACATACATACATACATACATACATACATACATACATACATACATACATACATTACATACATACATACATACATGCATACATGCATACAGATGTATATGTATGTATATACACACACCTATACGACCACCCTTCGGGAAACAAGGAGGTTATGGGGGGGGAGAGGGGGGGGAACCAACAACTGACTCAATCGATCTCACTATCGATCTCACTCAACGGGACACCACGGGACACCACGGGACACCACGGGACACTTGTCGATCTCACTATCGATCTCACTATCGACCTCACTCAACGGGACTCCACGGGACACCACGGGCCACCACGGGACACCACGGGACACCGCAGCAGGACACCTCTCGATCTCACTATCGGTCTCACTATCAATCTCACTATCGATCTCACTCAACGGGTCACCATAAGACACCAAGGGGACACCAGGGGACACCGCGGGACAACTCGGGACACAACATCGATCTCACTATCGATCTCACTATCGATCTCACCATCGATCTCACTCAACGGGACACCACGGGATACCACGGGATTCCACGGGACACCACGGGACACCACGGGACACCTGTCGATTTCACTATCGATCTCAATATCGATCCCACTTTTTGGGACGCCTCGGAGCACAACATCAATCTCACTATCGATCTCACTATCGATCTCACTATCGATATCACTAAACGGGACACCACGTGACACCTGTCGATCTCACTATCGATCTCACTATCGATCTCACTTTTTGGAACACCACGGGACCCAACGGGACACCTCGGGGCACAACATCGATTTCAGTGTCGATCTCTCAGTATCGATCTCACTATCGATCTCACTATCGATCTAACTATCGATATCACTATTTGGGACACCACGGGAAACCACGAGACACCTCGGGACACCACATCGATCTCACTATCGATCTCACTATCGATCTCACTATCGATCTCACTCAACGGGAAGTCACGGAACACATGTCGGTCTCACTATCGATCTCAATATCGATCCCACTTTTTGGGACGCCTCGGGACACCTCGGGGCACCACATCGGTCTCACTATCGATCTCACGATCGATCTCACTCAACGTGACACCACCTGTCAATATCACTATCGATCTCACTATCGATCTCACTTTTTGGGACACCACGGGACAGCACGGAACACCTCGGGGCACAACATCGATCTCAGTATCGATCTCAGTATCGATCTCACTATCGATCTCACTCAACGGGACACCGCGGGACACCGCGAGCCACCGCTGGACGAGCGGACGGACGGACGGGCGGGCGGGGGAGAATCATTTGTCATAACTTCGCCCTGACAACGGCGGACACCGCGGGACACCACGGGAGACCACGGGACACCGCGGGACACCGCGAGCCACCGCCAGACGGGCGGGCGGGCGGGGGCGACTCGTTTGTCTCGACTTCGCCCCAGCAACGGCGGGATCATTCCTCCCGCGCGCCCACGCAGCTTCGCCTCGCCCGCACGCACGACACGAACGAAACGAAACGATTTCCTGGTCGGGGGTCTCCGTTCCACTGCGATCTCACCCCCAACCGCCGATAACTAAGCAAATGCCGTCTCGATTTAGCCGAGACACCCGATCTCGAGGCTCCGGTGGGCCCTGCCCCCCCCCCCGAGGCGCCTGCGCACGCGGGCGGAGGGCCGCAGGCAGGCCAGGGCTCCCGCGAAGCGCCGCCGGAGGAGGCCGAGGTCCCCCTCGGGCATCGTCCAGAAGTAGCCCCTGAGCATGTTGTGGAACACCTTGGACCAGAAAGCAGACGACACCACCCCACCTACGGCACCAGGGGCCTTAGCGCATCCCAGGAACTGTCGGGGATGGACAGGCCCCCCTTTAGTAAAACGTGGTTTAGTGAAAACGACCTGAGGCCCAAACCTGGCGGGCGCAAGCCTGGAAAATAACGGCCACGGCGCCCTCTCGAGAACCGAAAACGGACAATTCACTAATCGACGTGTCACTGTGGGGGGTTCTGTCCACCCCCGAAACTTTGGCGTGGGCTTTTGCGTGGCATACGCTGCGGCGCTCCATGGGCCGTGGCGCAGCATGGAGGGCCGCGGGTGGGGTGGTGCCGTCTATGTTTCGGCCGACGCCTGCTGGCGGGGCCCCGCCGTCG